ACATATGTTTCATATGTTTGTTGTTGTTTGATTTATCATCTACGGGTTTATGTCGAATTAATTTGATGGCCTGCTCCCAGTTGGCTTGTTAGCTCAATTGGTAGAGCGCTGCACTAGTATCGCAGAGGTCAGTGGTTCGAATCCCGTACAGGCCTGAAATTTTTTTCAGGTCTGATTTTCACTATTGCTCAAATAGTGCTTTACTGCGAAGGATCGTTCACATATAAGTGTAAATTAACTAGGAATTTTTAGTGGTTTTAGTTGCGGAGAGGATAAAAATAAACCCACTCATATATTGGCTTGTCTTAAGCTATGGTTCGTTTCTAACGGACGTCGAGCTCTTCAAAGATTCTCACTCATTCTATTAGCTTTGTTAATTGGATGAACAGCATTAATATCGGCTTTCCCTGTTTATCCTAACTAATCCCATAAAAATGAGCTTGCGGAAAGGCAGTGGGCTTCTTGCCTAAAGATATTTTCTCTGCTGTAGGGAGAGTAAAGTTAAACAAAAAGATTCGAAATCGAACTATCGAGGTTACGTGAGAGTAACCGAAAATCAAAATTATCGGCTGCATGGTGAAAAATAAAAGCGGAAACGTTTCATATCCAACCGGCCAAGTTCGTAGAATTTTAACAGGCCCATGAGTTATGTAGTTATAACTATACGAATTTGGGAAATATATGTTAATGTCCTGATCATTATCTGTTGCCTGTACATTTGCTTTAAGGAAAAAGGGTGATAACTGTGTGAAAATTTTTCGGTCCATATCTGGTACATAGGTAGCTATTTGTGTTGAGCCCGGGTGCATCGCAAACCTGTGCAATCTGACAACGGTTACTTGGGGCAGTAATTGTTGTAACTAAGATGTTTCTCGAAATTAGCATGGTTAAACTGACAGAGCTGTTTAACCATGCAATATAGTGAAGACCACTAAAATAAAACTGGGCTTCTCAGTCTAGGAGGGCAAGAGTTATGAGTGAATATTTTTAGAGGGCGGGTGTCCTCTCTAATCGAATCGCTTTGTTTTGACCTTACGATTAGCGCTGAGTTTGGCCTCGCCTGTATTGAGCTTTAAGTGAACGATCATGAGTTAGCTGGACCATGAAATCAGCTGTACGTGACAAAGATCAGGCGAATGCTGCAAGGATTTAAATCAAAGCTGTTGACTTGAAGCTGCAAATGATTAAAGAATATACTGAAAATATGAAATGAAGTGGCTCAAAACCTTCTAAAAATATCAAAAAGACAAGTGTAGCCCTTAAAAAATTCGTGACGGTAATAGCATGTTCTTAGCATTGTTGCTCAGCTCAGCGTGAAACTTTATTACTATTGTTTAATACTCAATGAATAATCAGCTTATTAGAAGACAATAGGGGCAGGTTTTAAAGATGTTTAAATAATGTTAATGGCCCAATGAAAGTTATGCAACTTATAGTTGTGCAAGAAAGAAACTCTGTGTCTACTGGAGCCAATGATATATGTAAGTTCATAGACACCTTGTATAAGTTAAAGACATTAACTTGGTCTGACTGGGGTTAATTTGCACAGTGTAATCACAACGTATTTTTCCAAGTTTGTATCCACTGGAACATCAAAGGATAACTGAATAAAGTAATAGGCAGTCATCTGCCGTCAATGAACAATGATGGGAGAGGAGATTGTTTTAAAAACAGATAAGCTCACTCTTAAGGAATATCAGTGGAGATGATCCAGTTTGAAAGACTTTGGACCTTACTAATACCGTGTACGTGCAGGTATATGGATGTAACAATGACTAGACTCTGTGTTTCTAATCTTGCTGAGTCATGTGATCTTAGGCAAACCATTCAAGCTTGTCGTGGGACCCGAGGAAGGAAGGGGTGTGGGTGATTTATATTCGATACGTGTGGCAGCCGGTTTTTTTTTTTTTTTTTTCATTGATACATCACTGAGACTACAGCTATTTTAAACATGGCTCTAAAAAGGATGTAATGTTTGAGTACTTTAAAGGATTTTTTGACGGTAAGTAGACATCATCAACACGAACAAACAAGCGTAAATCCTTCTCAACCTTTACCATTCAAATCTCCTACTAAGCCAGCCTATTATCGGTCAGAAATGATTGGCCTTCAATTTGTTCATGCAACTAAGCCAGCTTGAAAATCGCCTTAAGGCCTAGGATCTTTGCTGTTAGTGACGAAGCAGGATCAATTCTCTATTTAGAATTAATGCATAGTAAATCAACTGTCTGGTAATGGACATAGCCTGGATCAACAAAACCAGACTGTCCATCCCGAGGGTTTTTACACTGAAATATAAAATTCAAAGTTTATCGATCGCTTATATTGATGTGTACAGTTTATTTATGTTGCTTCTTTTCGTGTGTACAGTGCAGTTCAAGAGAATAAAAATTCCGTGCATCAATTTCAGGCACAAGACTGACATTGTCATAAGTCACCTTTGTTGGATTGGGAAATAGAACTTAATACCCGTGCTTAAATACTTTATTTCATCATTGTCAAATAACTTTTCTCTGATCCACTTGAAAATTCCCCACGGTATTACACGTGTTCGAAAGATTTAAGAATTTTAGGCAAGTGGTTAATTTTCTCTCCATTTAAAGATAAATGCTATTGGTCGAGAGAAAAGTTATTAGAACAAAACCGAATCCAAAATTTGCACTTGTTTGGTCATAATGATCTTTGAAAAGCCAGATTTTCAAGAAATCTACCTCTGACTCGGCCCCAGTCATCTTGATAACGTGGGCGGAGAACTTAAGATGGCATGGATGCGAGTTGTGACGTAGTATCTCGTCTTCCCCCTTCCCATCAACCCTTACTCCCCTACTGCGCCGCGTTGCCGCGGTCTTTGAAAACGATTGGTGGGGTATCAGTAAATATCAGGCGCTTAGAACCTCAGGGCAGTCAGACTGTTACTTAAGTGCCGCTCCCCCAATTCCTTTTCCTTTTCCCTTCTTCCTCCCCTTTTGAGTAAGTAATTTTGACGTGCTTGTGGGAAAAACTCTTACCTGCTGAGTGGTTTTCTTTATTTAGGATTTAAAATGGGTACCGACAAACCGGATAGCGTAACCTAAAGACCTCCTACGGAGTAGAGTTGACCTGAAGTGCATAAGTATCTCGTCCTGAGGAAGCAGCAAGCGCAGACCTCCAAGTCTCTTTATGCCGTAAAGAAAACCAAGACCTGTCACTAACACTTTCCCTGGCAGTCAGACCGGTCAGCGGTTCATTAAACTATAAGCATGCATGCCCTTTCTACTGCATTCCCCAATCATTCTTTGTCCGCAATGCGATGAGCCGCTAGAATACCTCTGTGGTCAACACATTCACCAAGTTCAGTTCTCTCGGTTTCGAAAGCACGATTAGCTAGAGGAGATAGATAGGAGCTAGAGCGCAAGTGGAACATAGTCTTTAAACATCTCGGATAGGTGAAGACTTTTAAAAATAGTAACAATCATGTTTTACGGTGAGCATTTTTTCCTATGGGTTGAAGTTTCTGCTCTTTTAAGTACATTATTGCACCCCGTTAAAGTCCTTGAAAGTTAATCAAGGAATGTGTTTTTTATGGGTGAATCTCAAAGTGATTGTCAAGTGTTTGTCTCAAGGAACAAGATCAGTGACCCAACTCGGGGTCAAAGCCAGACCCATTGATCTCGCGAAGACCAGCTAGTTAACCATTAGGCCAACGCGTTGCATTCACGCGTTGCTAGTGAAATGCGCTGTCAACAAGTGATATTATTTTGGTATCTTTGGTCGGGAGACCACGAAAGACGTTTCTGGCCATCAGAATAAACCCGATTTAGGCAGCAATTGGCATTAAAAATTTAGCCGGTGGAGTATTTATTTCCCGAGGATTTTTAAAACTCATTATTTGCAAACTTAAATTTAAAAGTAAAAAAATTCCTGGCGCTGATCAAATCCGCGATTCTCATCATAATCACCCACTATCTAAGATTTCTGGACCAAAGGACAGAGGAACAACGTCTGGTAGTACGATGGTGATATGTAAAGAATGACATTAGTCTTCTAAGGAAGGCTAAGTTATCTCGAAACGATCGTGCAGTTTATTCGAAGTTTATGCATAGCATGTTTCTTCTTTCCAGAGTAGCGTGTTTTTCTCAGTTACTTGCTGTAAGAAACAAGAAAGATTCTTTGTTTGATGATTCTCTAGGACACGAACTACCTCTCCATTGACGTCACACCAAACTAACAAGACCACGAAATCAGGCGAACACATCACCTCATCTACACGAAATCCGACAGTGTTTCGCTGGATTCATAGAGATCAGAATCCTGATTTTCTTTAGAAGCTTGTCCTCAGTTGGATGATGAAGTAGCAATCAACCCTTTCCATCAATAGAGCCCGGTCCGTAAACATGTCCATCCATTGAAGTGATTTCCTTACTAATATTTAGAAAATAGAATATTGCATCATGATGATCTTGAATTTTAAGTAGCAAGGTAGAGTATTTACTGAGAATGACTCATCATCGCAGAAATGAGAAAAATTTTACCAATGCACCCACGAATGAGACTTGCATAGTTGGGAAACGTCAGAAAACTTCAATTAGTAATCCTTATTCATTTTGACATAGAGAAAAAAAATGGAGGCTAAGATTATTCACCTCGTTAGTCAGGGTGGCGACGGAACGTACTGAGAGCACGTATGGCATGGAAAGTACAATATCTGAGTTATAATGGGTACACCATAATAAGTTAACTGTAAGTAAGTAAGTAACTGAAGGCATATTTATATACACCAAACCCATTTCCTAAGCGGGTGTACGTGATTTCATACGGATGACCTACGCAAGACTTCTTCCCGTCTTCAACAGAATGTGTCTGTGTGTTTACATAGCATCACGAACTCTAGGGCCGTGTCATACAACAGGAGTTGAAAAAAATCGTTTTAAAACCATGACAACATCAACAAAATGAACCAGACAAGACAAAAACTGTTGAAAACCAACTTATCGTCTATTCTTTTGCTTGGCACAGCCACTGTTTCATTTTCGTCCAAAGCATAAAAGTTGAGTCTATTTGGATGGCTTGAGGTGGTTTTTGCAAAACAGGCCAAAGGTGTCCCAAAGGAATAATTTCCTCGGATCAAACAGCCGGAATGTACTCGTAATTCTTTTGAAGTATTGTCAAACGTGTAAGCTCGTGTATAGTCTGCACACAAACATACTCAATAACACACGAATGATTTTTTACCTTAAAAAAGTCTGCACACGGACTGATTGTTCAAACGAACACTCAGCGTGAATAAATCTTTGCACTAGTGCGGAAAATAGATGGGAATAAGGGATAAAAAAAAATGTAAAAACATTGCCTGTTTTTGCGGTGCACGCCTGATATTATCATGGTGTAGACAAAAGATCCTTGTTGGTTTATGGGCAGGCCTGGCCACGATATTTTATTGACCAAATTTTCAACGGACGAAATAGTATTTCCTTTGACGAAAGCAGGATGAAAATGGTACAAATTTGGTAACCATTTCAACAATTTAAATCTGTGAGGTCAGATCTGGTATTTCCTGTAGAATTGAAAAGCGCGCATTACTGCGGTGGAATATTGATTGAATACCATAATCAATGAGGCAAGGAAAGAAGCAGAGAGATTTCAAGAGACTTGAGCAATCTATTGTTTTCGGGTAATCAGTGGGACGAATTAGCACGAATCACGTATTAGCAGCTGTTGCTGTTATGATTAAAAACGCCAGGAAGAGTTGCTAAGGTGCTCAGTTTCAGATGGTACCTTGTGGTGTCAACATGTTTATCCAAATTGCGCAACTAGCTCAAGTATTCGCAGCTTACAGCATGTTAGTGCTGGTATTTTCAATTGGCTCTTTACTTAAGTCTTTCCCATCCTTCCGGAAAAGCATCATTAGAGCCTTCGAAATGATTACTAAAGTAAAGTTACCGGTCACTTCATATTGGGACTCTTTGTTCTCCGATCAAATGTTCCAGAACGTGTGGCATAGCGTGGCTTTGGATATGAACAAGAAGACCAAGCAAGGAGGCGACGCTCCAAACAGTCCAGTAGTGACATCGTCCGGAAAATATTGTTTTCCATTATTGGAGGTGGCCAAAGCTGGACGTCCCCTTGTTTTGAACTTTGGCAGTTGTACCTGTCCTATATTTATGAGCCAGTTGAACGACTTTCAAGAAATGGTTGACCAATTCAAGCACATCGCTGATTTTTGTGTTGTTTACATTGAGGAGGCTCACCCTTCGGATGGATGGGCTTTAAAGGTAAGATGGCTTTTCCGCTTTTTAGTATTCGTCAATTTAGAAGGGAAACAGACTCCCCTTTTTTGTTCTCTTAGTACATATTTTGCCCCAATCTAAAAATCCTCCCACAAAAAAAGTGCACCCGAATTATCAATCACCTAGATGGCGGGTGAAAAAGAGAGTGACCAAGTGGATCTTTCTCCATAGCTGCAATAATTTCGCTGAGGACTAAGCTTTTTAGGCCTGGCCTATTGCCAAATATATAAAGACTGAAAGATGATACTTTTAAAGTTTTCTTCAGTAAATATATTTAATAATTATCCTTGTAGAAAAACTACAACATCAGAACACACAGAACGCAAGCCGAAAGATGTAAAGCTGCCCGTGAATTGACGCGAAAAATTCCAGAATGTCCAGTGGTGGTAGATACTATGCTTGACGCGGCAAATATTGCTTATGGCGCTCTTCCAATCCGGTTTCACGTCATTCAGGACAGAAAGGTTCTTTATGAAGGTGGACCTGGACCAATGGGTTACAAAATAAGTGAAGTAAAGACTTGGCTGGAAAATTATCTAGCCGAGAAGTGATTATGAGACAGTTGATGGTGGATAAAGGTTGCGGTTAGTCCGTACATCAAATCCCAATTCACTGAAAAATTCAAGGAGACAATATCCGCTTCAATTTCGATTTCAAGAAGAACTTCTCTGAGGAGAGCTTCATAGAAAAACGGTTTCGTGAGAACATTACCATTGTGAATGGTACAGATTAGTCGCGAAACAGTGCTGCAATCATTCACTGAAATCAAAAGGAGATGATTTTCGGCTCAGTTGCCAAATATTATCACTTGAGACACTCTTATCTGATTTTTTTTAAGATCGAAGAACAGAAAATACGGAAAATTATACCAAACACATAGTACAGATTTTTAGATTAAAATCCAACTAAAACGATAGGTACATTTCTATAGGTAATCACATGATTTCGAGTGCAATTTAGAATAAATAAGCACGAGTAAATTTTTTCAAAGACCAACAAAATTGCATGAGCCCGTAGGACGAGTGCAATTTGTGGTCTTTGAAAAAATTTACAAGTGCATATTTATTCCAAATTGCACGAGAAAAATCATGTGATTATGTATTAATAATATACGTGAAAAAATACGAGGTAGCTCATCATAATTATGCAGAAGAAAAGCGCACTCATCGCGTGCAAAAATAATTTATTCAAACCCTGCAGGTGACATTGACCTTGACATTGACCAATCATTCTGACCAATCAGAATCTCTGGTTTGTTACTTTCTTTGCACTGAATTGACCCTCTTCTGCACTGAATTAACTCTCTTCTGGACTGAATTACCTGAAAACTGCATTTTATCTTAACCAATCAGAACTGAGTAAATTTTTTCATGTATATTATTAAGAATGTGATAAAATGGAAATATAGATATTTTGCTCTTGATGTTTCTGGTTACGTTAACTTTGGAAAAACGACCGCCAATGACGTGTTAGAAGTCCATAATTGTAACCGTGATAGCCCCTTCGGTCTTCTTGTACTTTACAGCTTACATGACAGCACCACTCACACATCACAGCAAAAATCAACTTTACTACTTATCTCAACAATCCAATTTCTGTGTAAGAATTAAAAACGCGTATGATATCCGCACTGTCTGGTTTTTGAAAAGACTAAACTCAGGAAAAACGTTTGGTTTGAAAACGCCAATAATGCCAGAGGCTTTATGTTTTCCCTGACGTGACGCTGACGTAAATGGCCACGTGAATTTTGTCCCAATCCCTCTCCATAATAAGTCCAGTGTTCCCACAAACAAACCTTTAGCGAAGTGTTTTCTTGCCGCGAACCTGGATTGCCCATGTAAAATGTCTCGAAGTCAAATTCTGTTCTATTAGGCCCTCTAGGTTTTGTAAAAGCACATCAACATGTGAAGAAGTAAGATAACTGTCGGTTCGAGAATATTTAACTTGAATATTTGTGTTTGTCTGTAAGTAAGTACGGTGAGGGGGTGGACTGAGGAGTCATATGGGCCCCTTTTACTGTTCTCACCTCCCACCCTGGCCCTTGGGTCTTGTCTACCTCCCTTTATTGCTAAAACACAGCAATACCAAACTTTGAATGTCTTCGAATTTTTGTTTCTGGTCTTTTTCTAGTCCTCTGCCGTTTTCCAAACTTCCCCGATCCCTCTCCTGCTTGTGGTCACCACTGTTTAACGCACTTCCTCAGGGCGCAGGAGAGAAGGTTTGCTTGCGCATCTGTCTCGTACTTATTTTCCACTGCATCACAGAAAGATACCGAGAAGTCGAACTCACAGCCGAGAACGTTTTCTGAAGAATATATTTTTTATCAACGCTTGAACACAACAATTGGAAAAATACTGTACTTATTTATTTAAGTCATATATGATAAATCTTACTTCCTTGTTCTTCGTTTTATAATTTCATTCCGCTTTATTCCATCCTAGTTAAACATTTTTTATCATTTTATTATGCAAAGTTCATATAGAACTATCATTTAAAAAACTGCAACCATGACACATCTCTAAGCTTTCATTTAAGAAATGCTTCCAAAGATTAAGTGCGTGGAGTAGTGTGTCAAGGTGCACTTAATCATGATGTACTCTCAAAATAATAACTTGTGGTATTCTCCGGGGCCCAGTTGTTCAAAGGCTGATTAGCGCTAACCCAAGGTTAAATTTTAATCCGGGACTCTTTATCCCTTTGTTCAGAAACTTTTCTCAGATAATTTTCTCTATTCTTTGAAGGACATCCA